AGACCTGTACCTCTGAAACAAATAATACATTATATGTTAAAAAAATAAAATAAAGAAGAAGAAGATAGTAGGAAGGGAAAAATGAAGGGGGAGGAATCGGAGGGGTAGATGAACCATGAGAGACTGTTGAGGGCTCTAGAGGGGAGGGGGGAGGGGGATGGGTTAGCCTGGTGATGGGTATTAAAGAGGGCACATATTGAATGGAGCACTGGGTGCTATATGCAAACAATGAATCATGGAACACTACAACAAAAAAATAAAAAAATCATATGGGCACTATTAACTGAAGTCTTTCTCCTGACTATATAATTGTTCATAGGAGAGAGTCTGTTTCATTCAAATAATTGCTTAAGAGAAACAAATGAAAGAATGACCGATAAATCTAAGAGTAGTGAACTAGGAAATGTTGATTTTCATTTGCCAACTTTGAGAGACAAAGCTAAGTTACTGTTACCTATATATATTCACTTCTTAGATAACAAATCTTCATGTCTAGAATCTGTTAAATATCACAGCTATTTTTTCAATACCCATTGAAAATGTAGAAGGGATGTAGATGTGTAGACACTGTTATTATTTTAGAAGGCAAGGCTCATATTCAAAATATTACTGCCCCTAAGTAATACATGGTATGTACAAGACGGTAAAGTGGCCAGAGACTATATCATAATGGGCAGACAAAATCAATATTTATATATTTTCATGGGTATTCAATGGAAAGAAACAGAAGAAGAAGTTTTGGTGTTGGCAACCAATACAATTTAGAAATTCGTTCCAACTATTTGTAACTTGAAATCATCAGATTTAATTAAAACACTATTCTGAGGGGAAATATAAATATGTCTGTTGGAATGAATAAGTGAAAAAAAGACAGTAGTCATGTGCAAAAAAAATGTCATACCCCACAGTGAACAAAACTAGGGAGTATTAAATGTCAATATTAAAGCTGAAGACAAAGACAGAAATAAATTTTCTTTAATCAAAGAAAAAGGCATAAGTTATTTTCTTATATCTAAATAAATTCAAATGATAGGCTAAAGTCAATTAAATCTAAAACTGAAATAATACAAGAAGGAATAATAACCTTAACCTGAAATAAAGAATTTCCAAATATCCTCCCATATTGACATATCATTTGTTTTTTGTTATAGTTGGAGCTGAAAAATTATCTGGCTATGAATGCATTTATTTATTCATTATGTAAAGAAATACATAATGAGATATGTTAAAAGGACTCTACCAGGCACTAGAGATAAAATAATGGAAAAGACTACACCCCATCTGCAAGAAGATTATAGCTTAATAGCGCATTTCAAAACCTGTGTTCTACATAGAACTAATTCTGAGAAAAATTAATGACAAATATTTTGAGAATATAGTGTTCCATCATCAAATAAATTTGGAATTATTGCTTTCACTCCCTCTCTTGTATATTTTCTGATATGTCAATTAGCATCTTCTTTAGGAGTTAAGTTTTAAAAAGCAAAAATAAGAATACTCAAAATGATCCTTAAAAGTCCCCTAAATCTTCTAGAGGATACAACATACATGGCTAAATTTATAGCTCATGTTGGAGGAAAATATATAGTCTAACTCTATTTCATTGTTTTCTTGGTAGAGGATCACATGAAACGTTTGGCTTGAATTTAGAAGCCAAATTGTGTTGAAAATGTGTATCTTTAAACATTAGTTTCATATGCAACATGGCCAGATGCTCTCATGAAAAATGAGTAGCAATTTAAACCAGTTCAGCCAAAAGCAAATTCCTATCTCCTACCTCAATTTTATTTTGGATAAATGGAGAGGATCAGTAGGCAGAATCACCTACAATATTTATGTCTTCTTTTTTCTTATATTTGTTTTTATGGTTGTTGTTTTACTTTCTTGTTTATCTACTTTAAATTGTTGAAATCTTGCAAGTTGCATATTTAATGAGACTTCCCTTTAATGAGAACTATTTCTGCTTGCTTAACATGATGTTTTAAGATTTTACTTGACCATGGAATTCATGTATGTGTGTATAGCACTTATTATTCTTAGAAATGGTGTCCCACAGAACTCAGTTACCTGGATGAACAAAGCCAATGTATTCAATGAGCAACATGAATTTGCTGAAAAATAGTGGGAAAAAAAAGAAAAGCTAGGTTTTATATTTACTCCTAATTATAAATAATTTTAATACTCTTTGTGCTACTTTGAAGTCCACAACTGACTGATACAAATATAGCCAGCTGATTTTGACAGAGGTGTAAAGGCAATTCAATGTAGAAAAAATTATCTTTACCATAAAGGGTGGTAGAAAAATTGGACAATCACTTGAGAAGGTAGAACTTCAACATATACCTTATACAAAAAATTAACTCATAAAGGATCATAAACCTAAATATAAAATGTAGAACTTCTTAATTTTTAGAATAAAACATGGAAGAAAAATCTCTATGAAGTTAGATTTTGCAGTGAATTTTAGATACAACATCAAACATGTGATCCATAAAAGACAAAAAATGATCAAACATTACATTATAAAAATGTAAGACTTTTGTTGTTTAAAATTACTGTTAAGAAAATGAAAAGATAATGCACAGACTGGGAGAAAATATTTACAACTCATATATTCTATAAAAGAGTTTTTTATCCAGAATAAATATAAAAAATAACACTTAAAACTCAACAGCAAGAACACAAATAATATATTTTAAAAAGAAAGTACGAAAAATCTAAAAGATCTTTTACCAAAAATATAGAGATAGTAAAAAAAACATATGAAAAGATACTCAATATTAGGTAAATGTCAGTAGGTAAATCCTAATTAAGACCATAAAGATAAAATCATTAAAAAAATTTTAAAAGTGACAAAATGTCCTACTGATGAAGATACAGAGCAATAAAAATTCTCAATTATCAATGGCAGAAATGCAAAATGGTAAAGCCATTTTGGAAACAATAAGTTATTATAAAATTAAACATGCAGTGATTATGTGACCCAGCCACCAAATTCCTTGTATTTACTCAAATGAACTGAAATTTTATGTTCACAAAAAAGCCTGTATGCAAATGGTCCTAACTGCTTTAATTATAATTGTCAAAAACCGGAAACAACCAAGAAATACTTAAAGAAGGTAATGGAAAAACAAACAGTGATACATCCATACCTTGGAATAATACTCAGCAATAAAAAGGAATAATTATTTACTCATGCAAGGACATGAATGAATCTTGAATGCATTTTGGTAAAAGAAAGATGCCGGGTCATTAGCTAATGATTGACTGGTACAGAAAAATGAAAGCCAGGCTTCCACACCATGAGTTGGGACAACTGTGGAAGCAAAATTTTACTCTGGAGCTCTCCTGAGGGATTAATCTGTGGCTAGGACTTTGTCCAAAATCTTGTTCTTGCTTGGATTTTACCCCTTCCTTTTCCTGCCTCCTTTTGTTCATTTCTAGATTTGCTCCTGAGAATACTTCTTTAATAAATCATATACATACAAATCCTTGTCTCAGTATCTGCTTCTAAGACAGTGAAATGAACTGAATGTAGAAGCTCTCTCTATAAGTTCTTTACTGTTTTACTTACTGAAATTTAAGTCCACAGAGCATTCATTCCTTGTAGCTTGTAACTATAGTTAACAGTTAAGAGGCTTTATCCAACACATTTAGCATATTTCTTGAAAAAATGTAACTTAAAGATTGTTAGTAAATATAGACAAAATGTAATTTTTAAGTTTTAAAACAACTAAATTTGTTCCTTAATTTGATAATTCCAAGTATGTAATTAATGATCCTTCAAACTTGAAAATGGGGAAAGAAATCATATAGAAGTTTTTGCAGTTCTTCAATATGAACTCCTAGATTCCAAAGCAGTAGATATCCTTTCTGATTTTCATGCAGGATAATGAGGTTATAAACAACAATGGAAAATACATGAAACTTAGGCAAGAAGCGGTGAAAATAAGGGTAAATATGCCCAACCTGTCCACTTAGTTTTATTTTCCCTAATATTGCTTTAAATGATCATATATAATTTATATTAATTTATTTTAATACTTATTGGTTTATATTTATTTAAAATACAAAATAATTTGTATATGTAAATTGGTTTGATAAATATTCAGGTAGTTTTAATATGGAATGGAATTGAATGAGACATAAAATATTTTATTTTTAAAGATTTTACTTATTTACTTGAGAGAGAGAGAGCTCACACAAGCAAGGGGAAGGGGCAGAGGCAAAGAGAGAAGCAGACTCCCCGCTGAGCAGGAAGCCCCACATAGGGCTGGATCCCAGGACCCTGGTATCATGACCTGAGCTGAAGGCAGAGGCTAAACGGACAGAGATACCTAGGCACCCCTAAAATATTTTACACAATGTGATGAAAACTATGACATTTAGTTTATAAGCAAACTAGCAATAACTACCGTTTGATGGCATAGATTAAGCGATATTAACAAACCTCAGCAAATAATTATTGGTGTGAAATCTAGGCACATTGTTTCTCAACGTGTCATCCTGGGAAAAAATATGAATCTGGTGTTTGAACAGAGATTCTGATTCTGCATGTCTTGTGTGGAGCTGTGGTGTCCGCATTCATATCAAGTACTGTGGCTGATTTTTGTGCGTTCTACTGGTGAAAATCTAAATACATCTGTGCTGACAATTTAATTCTTCTTCAGTTAAGACCACTGTCATACCAAGGAGAAGAATCCTTGTGGTTATCTGCATGAGTTGAGAAAACATTGTTCCTTCCCGGAAGGTCGCCGTGTGAAAGAGGCCGTGGTAACGCGGGTCTCCCCACTGTTTCTGGGGAGCAACGGCGGAGCAGCTGAACCCGGCCGGAGGCAGCGGTGAGGAGCGCACCAGCAGTTTGCTGCCACACCATGGAGAGCGGGGTGGGG